TTTTATTCAAAGTAGACAATTGGTTATTTGCAAATTTCGTCATTTTCAACCTACCTTTCGTCGGCCATCGTTTCATTGTGACTTTTGTGGCACTCAACTTTCCAAATTTTTACAAGGAAATGTTTCTTGGAGAATCAATAAGCATTTAGAGAACTAACCTTAGTCGTAAAGAGCTAAAATCCAAGCAATAATTAAGTGGTTCTAGAAAGGATTACAACAGAATACACAAGTCATCGAATTCTCGTTCGAAGCAATACAGCATTTATAGTTTCTTCGAGCTTCAAAATTCTTGTATTTCGTGACAGAATTACCTGTAAGCTGTTATTTAACATGAATGCTGAACTTTTGAAGGCTACAAAGTAAAAAAATATGCATATTTTAAGAATATTTGAAAGAAAGACTTCTTGATCTAAAGTTGTTGTTCTCATTTTCAACCGCTGACCGGAAGTTTGGGAAAATGAATGAGACAGATTTTGTGGTGACCAGACATCTTCAAACATTCGGCCTTAGCAAATGTACTCACTTAGTCAATGAATCCGATTTATTACTCTGCCGCGCAGGTAAGTATAATTACAGGTATTTCATGTTCAGCCAAATATGGCCCATTTTAACTCACATATTACAACATTCAATCTTATATGTGTACAATTCGCTGACCGGAATTTTGGAAACTGATGATTTTCTCTGATTGGACCTGAGAGACATCCTCTCCAGTAAATGCTAAGCTTATCACGATGGTGGTTGCATATACAGATTTATTAGAATCTTTCAGTGATGTCAAAAACTCCTGTTGCGGGGTTAACTTGCAACGGCAGATCTAGGGGAGGGGTACATGGGGATTTTGTTTCCCTTCCCCCTAGATCCCTAGATCCCTAGATGAGCTGTTATCTACTGCATTATTGGGGTTCGAGTTTGTAAGCAAAGGGTGCACCCCCTCCTAAAACGAAAATCCTGGATGGTGTCTCCCCCAATAGAAAAAATCCTGGATCCGCCCCTGACTTGCACGGCAATTATATACCAGCATGCGAAGAATAAATTCTTGACAAGAACGCAGTGAAAACAGAAGTGAAAGATCGTCAAGGTAGTCGGCATGCATGCTTCGAATAACTTGTTKTTTTTTTAATACTTTATCACAAGATATACCCCCTCTTCCGCTACTAAAAACTTTGTTCCTACAACTATTTTCACATAAACTTGTCAAAATAGAAATTCGAAACTAAATTATTAAGTTTAAAGGGGGACTAACATGAAATCCTCCGAAATTTAATTTGACTAAAACTTCAATCGAATAATCTTTAAGGGTTTTATAATCACTGGTTAAATTATTATTTTTATATTCCAATGGGAAGTATTATATTTTATGAATTTTCATAGGTGTCTGTGACGTCATACACTCAACACCAAACATCGCTCCGTACATTTCTTTGTAAATAATTTCATGTTTTACTCTTTTTCTATTGAACACAAAGGTCCGCTGAAAACTTAACTTACGAACTTGTGGTTAGACTGAGTATAAAACTAGCGGAAATTTTGATTACAAAATACAAAGAAATGTATGGAGCAATGTTTAGTGTTGAGTGTATGACGTCACACTCTCCTATAAAAATTGGTAAAATATAATACTTCCCACCCAAATATCAGAAAAAAACTTTAACCAGTGATTATTAGACCTGTAAGGGTCGATAACAATGAATGATGACGACTGGCACACATACCTGCACTGTAGCTAGCTCACTGACTGGAAAAGCCAATGTGGTCGAATGTTGCTCTCTCTCTCTCTCTATCTCTTTCCCTCTCTCCTCTCCAGGAATCCACCGAGCAGGAGGCCGCAGGTGGCTGGCGAGAGGCGGCCGGCACCAGCCAGCGAAGGCTGTGGGAGCTGGTGTCGGCCACCTGCAGATGCTGCCCAGAAGCCCAGCACAGCTGCCCCGCTTGCGAGTGCACTGAGGAGAGCTGCCCCACCTGTCACCTGCACCAGAGGTTGGGTGCTCTGGAGCTGCCCAGCCTGTCCTCGGCCACGGCCCAGGCCAAGAACCACCGACTGGCCACCCTCCTGAAGACTGCTCTGGTGCTGTGGCGCTTCCATGAACTCTCCACGCGGCTGGACGACGCCCAACACGAGGTAAGCTCGTTCGTGGCCATCCTCCTCCACAAAACGCTAGCTGTCACGTTGGCTGATCTTGATTTCGTTGCAGGTCCTTCTGCTCTTCAGCCAGGTGCTGCATATTGGCCAGAGCAAAGTCAACTGCCTGGTCAATGTGGGCAGCCTGGCCCAGACCCTGCCACAGTGGCTTGGCATCCAGCTGTCTGGAGGGTGGTCCTCCTACTATTCCAGTAAAGGTTTCAGCAGAATTAAAATTTGTAAGAATAAGGTCGATAAATGGCATAACACAAATTATAGTCATTTACAAATGGCTGAACATGAAATACCTGTAATTATACTTATTTTGATAAAATGTTACGACCGAAAACCGTGTCACGGTAGTTTAAGCTCGCCAAAAAAATATTTTGCTCCGGGCTGCCTAATTTATTTTTTTTTATACAATTTATTTTCATAGCTCAAGTTTTATTTTCTTTATAGCATTTTTCTAGAGAGAGATATTAATAAATTGCTGAAAAAGAGCCTTGGGTTGCCTGCGTTTTTTTGTGAAATTTCACACTTTTGACATGCAATTTGGAAAGGAAATTTTATGTATATATTTATTGCGAAGTACTATTTTAGGTGTATTGGATACAGTGTAAATAAATTTTGTAGAAATGACAGCCACTTAACCCAGTTCTCATACCTTAAAGGAATAAAAACTTGAAATTAATGCTATCACAGCATTTAAAATATTGAGTGGTTTAAAAGAAACAATGACCATGCCTTACCCAATAAGGGAAAGGGATTG